GTCGGCTTCATGATCTTAGGAGGCCTAGGTCAGAACAGGAACACACTCCCAACTGAGTGAACTTTGTGTAGCCCAGGGATGTCAATCTCGATTTCTTTGTGGCCAGCTTGACATCACTTGTGTCTAAGGTGCCTGTAGGCACCTGAAAACACCCCTCCCGAGCTCCATTTTTGCTGGCAGAAGCATTGGTGGCTGGTCCTTTGCAGTTTGCAGGGCAGCCCTGCAGGCTGGATCTGGCCCGCGGGCCTTGAGTTTGACAACTCTGGTCTAGCTTAAGGAAATGACATGGGAGGCACCTTGGTGGTGGGGCATACAAAACAAAACTCGGCAAAGTCTGTAGGGAAAAAAAAGGCAGTAAAATTGCCCCAAACTGGAACAAGTTGGAGTCCCTGGAAGACTCCGATCCGACATTGGAAGGCGCCTGGAGAGGCTGGGAGTTAATCTGGATCTATTCTTTTTTCCTTCCGTTTAACCTGAAAGAAACCAAAGGTGGCTCCCACGTAGGCAGGTTTGACCCTCGGAAACTAAAGAAAACAGGCAGAAGTGTATGTGTGACAGGTTAATTAAATTGGCACCTTCAAAGGAAGGGCGGGGAGTTGTGGGGGAGAAGGGAGAGACATCTCCTACTGATGAGAAGAAAACAGGAGTGGGGATGGGTAGGTGGAAGTGACAATTTAATAAGCTTTTAAGCCAAACTGGGTATTAGAAAAGTGGCAAAGCCCGGGGAAGGCCTCGTTTACAACTTTTCCCCCCAGGAGACAAACGCACCGCTTTCAAGTCCGAGGCCCCAGACGCAAGAGGGCGAGTTTCCATTTTAAGATCCTTGAAGTCTCAACGGGGAAGGGGAAAAGAATAGGGGGAGAGGCGGTGGGGAAGGGGGTGCCATTCCATCGTCGGGAGGAGGAGGAGGAGACTTTATTGGGCTGGGGTGGGGGGGAAGAAAGAGGCAAAGCCGGAAGAGCAAAGAGGACCTGTCAAGTAAGGCAGCCGCTAAGCCCGGCGGCGAATAAGCTGGCGCTTAATGTCAGAGGAGATTCTGAGCGCGGCTGGGGAAGCCCCATGGGGAAATGGGGGGGATCGATGGCTGGGGCTCCAGAGCAGCAAAGGCAGCAGGCACCGTGAGGAGAGCTGGTCAAAGGCTGAACCCCAAGAGGCAAGGAGGGGAAAAAACCAAATGGGCCTGGATGGAGACTTTTTGGGGAGTCAGTGTTCCTTTCCAGGAAGGTAAGAGGGAGAGAACTGATGGGAAAAAAGCATCCGGGGTTTGCGGGCTGCCGTGTTGTTCTTCCCAGACTTCTGAACAGGCAGAATAAGAGAGTTGGAAGGGACCTTGGAGGCCTTCTAGTCCAACCCCCTGTTCAAGCAGGAGAACCTATACCATCTCAGACAAATCACTGTCCAGTCTCTTCTTAAAAACCTCCAGTGATGGAGCACCTACAACGTCTGGATGCAACTTCTGTTCCACTGGTTAATTGTCCTCGCTGTTAGGAAGTTTCTCCTTAGTTCCAGATTGCTTCTCTCCTTCATTAGTTTCCATCTATTGTTTCTTGTCCTGCCTTCTGGTGCTTTGGAAAATAAATAGCCCCCCCCGCCTTCTTCTCAATGGCAGCCCATTGGTCCTTCTTTTCTCTAGACTAGCCAAACCCAAATCCTGCAACCATTCTTCAGATGTTTTAATCTCCAAGCCTTTAATCACCTTAGTTGCTTTCCAAAGTTTCAACATCTAGAATAGAATAACAGAGTTGGGAAGGAACTTGGAGGTCTTCTAGTCCAACACCCTGCCTAGGCAGG